TGGAAAGGCATTTTCCAAAACAAATTAAATTTAAGGCCATTTAATTTGTTTATACATTTTCTATACAGTGCAATTAAACTGTTTCACTTTCTATTCATCTTCATTTTTATTTTACCAAAATCATTGTCACTGGAAAAAATTATTTTCTGTTTAAATTTCCCAACACAGGTTTGGCTCAAAAATATATATAAATTTTTGGTTCATATCAAGTTTTACTAAATATAGTCCCTTTCCATTTTGAGTCTTCTTTTATGGAATTATTTCTAATTTTCCCAGGTCAATGTTTACAGTTACCAACAGGATTCTTGAGTCAGTTTTACATTTCCTTAACAATTTTACCATGCACAGTTTTAGCCATGATTTGTATAGTGATCATTTCCACCGATAATTGCATATATAAAGTATTACCAGGGACAGATTATATTGATCTCTTAGCTAATCCATGAAAAAAATTGAGAGCAATTTCTTGCAGAAGTGCCAGCATTGCTCTAAGGCAGTGGGTGTACTCTGGCCTCCCTTGGGCAGTTTCAAGAAGTGTTCATGCCTGCACCCTACTCCAGCCTCTCCTTTAATCAATTTGCTGTGGAGCCCAGACACTGACCTCTTTTAAAGCTCTTAGGTCATTCTAATACACAGTCAGGGTTGGAACACTGTTCTGAAAAGCTGGAGCTGCACTGTCCAACACAGAGCCACTCTGAACATGAGCTATTTAAAGTTAAATTAATTAAAATTAAATAAAATTTAAGATTCGGCTCCTCAGTTATACCAGCCAACACAGAACGGTTCTATCGTCTCAGAAAGTTCTATTGGGCAGTACTGGACTAGAGTCGAGATGAGTGATCTCACCCCAGGCTGCACAGTAGAAATATCTAATACCTGGAAATCTGAAATGATGCACAGGCCCTGCCCCCAACCGATTAAATCAGAACCTCCAAGTGGGGCCAGACATAACTGATAAAAGTTACCGTTGATGCTATGGTGTAGCCTGGATTAAAAACCTCTGGGTCAAAACAGCTGGTCAGGGATCAGGGTTACCCCTCCCCTCCAGCATCTCTCTGAGAGGCCCAGAGTAAACAGGAAGTTAGTTGTCCAATGCAGCCTGGGACAAGAGTCCAGTTTGTCTTATTGTCTCCCATCCATAGAAGTGGAGTTTCCTTTTAAGTACATTTCAAACCTGATTTTATCAACACAAAGTTTACTCGCCCCTGCAGTTGGCTCTGGAATCCCTCAGGCTCAGGGTGGGTGGGGTGCTGAGCAGCCAGGAGGCAGTTCTCAGCCCAAGGTTTCCCTCCCAAGATCCCACTGAGGCTTCCCAAGATCCCACTCCAGGCCAGCAGACCAGTCTGGTATAAGGAGGTCACCCCAAAACTGCCATCGGTTATCAGAGGAAACACATAAGTGCCAAATGCCCCGGAAGCCATAGGGAATGGGAGGAGGGCAGAGGTGGAGGGGAGTCAGTAGAGAGAAAGAATAAAAGGAGAGGGAGGTAAAGATGGAAAAGAAGCAAGGAGAGAGACTTCAGGACAGAGGTCCAGAGTAAGAGGGTGTGAAGAATGATGGAGGCACTGAGGGGAACTCCAGAAACAGGTGAAGGCAGAGGAGGGGGGTTAGGAAGAGGGAGGGGAGGTCACATGGAGGAGAATACAGGAGTTAACAACGTGGAGGGCCCTGCCACCTGCTTGGAAGAAGGCCCCAGGAGGAGCATTCATGAGCTCACAGGACACACGCCCAGGCTCCCAGGTGGCTGCATGATGACCCCGTGCCGTGGGACCTCACCAAAACCCTGAGGATAGTCAGATGCCATCAAATCACTGTCACGCCTGCTATTTCCCTGTTTGCTTCCTGACCAGACAATGGCAACCGAAGGGCAGAGAGTAGATGTTCTGTTTAAAATGTTTATTGTGTCTACGGCCATGCCACCCTGAACAAGCCCGATCCCGTCTGATCTTGAAAGCTAAGCAGGGTCGGGCCTGGTTAGTACTTGGAAGTACCTAGGAAGACCAGGTGCTATAGGCGTAAAAAATAAAAAATAAAAAATTGTAAGCCGACAAGGTCCTTGCAATCTGTGAGGTCAACCAAGGGTTGCCTCACCTAAAAAAATAAAAATAAAAATAAAAATAAAAATAAAATAAAATAAAATGTTCATTGAACTGAGTTCACTGAAATTTTTCCCTTTTCTCTTTCAAAATGTAATATGTCATAGGGTTAATCTTGTCACTTCCTGGTATGTTTCTTTTACGGCTTTAGAATTTTTCATCTCGGATTCTTTTCTCACATTTCACGCGTAGGGTGAAAACACTGTGAGGTCTAAGCGTGGGGGTGTTATGGAACTATCTCACAAGGATCCCGCCTGTCCCCACTGCAGCAGGCCCGCCCCCGTGCATCCAACATGCACACACACCGCTATGGGGGCTGCGTACCCCGTCAGCTCCTTCAACGAAGCCAGAATTCTTCTGTTTCCACACATGACAGTGTTGTTTGGGCAATCTCTGAAACTCTTCAGATATTTGTGATCAGTTGAAATTTAAATTTGGTTTAATTAATATTTAATTTGTAATTGCTAGAATGCAAAATTGAGATAAATGTTTGAAAAACTCAAAAATTATATTCAAATGGTTATCAGAAAGAAGTTTCTGGTAAATTGGGAAGTTTTGTGAATTAGGTCTTCTGCAAATTGGTATTTGAAGAACTGATTTCTAGCACACTGGCCCTTCAGTGAACTGGTCATGTAGAAACTAGTTTTCAGAGAGCTGGCTTCCTTCCAGGAGCTGGAGGATACCCACAGGGGCCAACATGAGGGCCCCAAAGCGAAATGCAGCTTGGTCCCTGGTGTGACTTCTGACCCACAGGGCCAGGACAGCCCATGTGAGGCACTGGTCTGGCTGGCATCACCCTGAGGGCCAGCCTGGCCCTTGAATTCATCAAAAATATGTTCACAGCCCCTGCTCCTATGTTTCCTTCATGGTCTTAGAAATCTCCCCACAGGGCCTGTAAAATGCTGAATCTGACGATGAAAATGAAACATGCATTTCCTCTGCATGCCTTGCAGTAAACAGACTGTCCCGCTTTTGCCTCGCTAAGCTCTCTCCACTCCAGCATCATGAGGGAACTGAACTCTCCAGAAGGGCCCAGCCCCATTGTGGGGCTGCCAGGAGCCTCTGAGAGGTACAGGGGGCTCAGTGATTATGAGCATGTTGTAGACTTGCCCTGCAGTCACGACTCTGCCATCATTCGCCTTTGAGGAACTCAACCAACCTCTCAGAGCCTCAGTTTCCCCATCTGTAACGATGACAGTTATAACAGTAGTACATAACTGATTTAAAAAGATCTCGCATATGAAGACTCAGCACAGTTGGCTAAGCTCTGAGTAAACGTCAGCTGTTGTGGTTTTGCTAATACTATCCTCAGTCTGGTATCGGAGGCCCCTCCCAATCGGGCCCCACTGCTCCCTTCTCCCTGGGCTCACATGTCATGTTACCTAGGCCCACCTGCAAGGTCTTAGCCAGGCTGCCCTCCTTACTTAAACACTGGAATGCCCTCCCTTCCTCACCTCTCTAAGCCCACCCCGGCTTCTGAGTCAGTCTGCATAGCCTTCCTCCAGGAAGCCCTCCAGAACCGCCCAGTACTCAGAGTCACTCCCTTCCTAACCAGCAGATCCACTTTCATGCTTGTTAGAGGCTGTCATGTTTTCTGCAAAACATTTGTCTGTACTGGAGTGGCTTAGTGTGAACTGATTCTAGCCCCTGCCCCCCATGCAGGCAGGGGCTACTGAGATCTAGGCTGGACCCCTACATCTTGTAGTCCCACCTTCGGAGGGCCCAGTGAAAGTGTCCAACACGCCCCACACATACCTCACCCTGCACGCATGGCCAGCAGAACCAGAGACAGTGGCAGCTGGGCTTCTCTTCCAAGCTTTTTAAGATTTCAAACTTTCCAGGTATTTTGCAGCCTGAGACCGTCATTGGCCTTCCCCAGGTCTCTGAATCCTCTCCCCTCCCCTCTCTCTCCTCTCCCACTCTAGGACAACTCAACCAGGTATATCCCATGTCAGCTGACCCAGTTCCCAAACAAAGGCTCCCCTATGAACAGATCACAAAACAGCAAGCCCATCATGCCTGATCCTGGGGCCCAGACCTCAGTAAATGGCACCAAGGGCATGAACCCACCCCTGCCAGCACCTAACACAGATGCCCATCGTGCCAGGCAGGGACTGCTGAATTCAAGGCTGTGCGGCCTCACAGGCTGCGTCTCCTAGGCCACCCCATCCCACAACGAACAGGGCCATCAATCTGCACGTTCAGTTGGTCCTGCCCAGCCTCCACCCTACTGCTAGCACATACAAGGCCCAGAAGCTCGGTGATAGGAGAAAGGACCCACGGCCTGCCTAGAGGGCCTGTTTTACCACCACAACTTTGCTCCTGCTATTCCCTGGAAACCCTCCCCACTACATACATGAAATAACAGAAAATACTGCCACAGGAAGGTGTGCAGTCAGTAGGAACCGTTAATACTCTTCCAACTTCTAAACCACAAATCTTATCTCAAGTCCTACCTCTTCTATGAAGTCTTCCCTGAGAGCTTCCTGCCAGCGGCAGCTTTGCTTTGCCTGCCTGCCTCCTGCAGTGTGCCTCTGCCCTCACCAGTCTGGATGGGGCGGGGAGAGGGCCATGCCCAGGCAACCCTGGGCTGGAGCAAGGACACAGGGAGCCTTCTCCTCCCTGCTCCCTGGGGCACGGACTGTCTGTGCAAACACATACACCTGATTATAGCCCATCTTCCTTCCACGCAGCCTGGGCAGCTCTCAGATTGAGCCATGGCTGAGTTTCTGAGGATATAGCTGGCCCCCTCCCCAACATCCACCACTAGGCCAGGCCCATGAGAGTCAGGTCTTCAGCAAATGCTGAGTTGAAACATCAGCTCTTCAGAGCCCCAATTCTGGAGTACATGTCAACCACAACCCTACTTATACATGAAGGACAGAGACTCCTCACATGCCTCACCTGTTCCTCCCCATCGTCTCATGGTCTTTGACCACCACATGGAGCTCTGAGCTCTGGTCCAGAGGGATGCCCTTGAGGTCCCACTCAAAGCCCTGGAAGAAAAGGAGAAAAGACATCTTAATCTGTGACCCTCTAGGAGAAGAGACTGTGTCTGGCTCACTCTGGTCCCCCCAGGGCACTGAGCAGGCATCCCTGAATGATGTTGATGGATAGAAGGATGGATGAGTAAATAAATAAATACATGAATGGCTGGGTGCCAGAGCTTCAGAAGTGACAGTGAGAGCTGAAGTCAGCAGAAGAGAGAAGGAAGCTAGGTTCCCATGGTCCCCAATTCAATTCCACCAATCACCAGGAAGGCAGGCCAGGAGCACAGCTGGGAAAATTGCCAGGTGAACCTGCAGGGTCTTTGAGGACCAAGATCAGTGTGCTCATCCCTGGTGGGCAGCATGAGTTAGTGCCACATTGGGGAGTTCCATTCAGAGGTCCTAGGACCCTCCTCAGAGCAAAGGCCTCCCCGTACATCCCAACCCCATCCACACAGGGCATCCAGGGTTTCTCAAGGATCACCTAGGAGCCATATACAGGGATCTGGTTGGGGGAGCAGAGGCCAGCAGGAGCCAGAGGAAAACCTAGTTAATCAGGGAGAGCTGTGGGAAAGAGGTGGTCCGTGGGCAGGGAGAACCCCTAAACACCCTCTATCTGGCTGACCAGAGCTGGAACAAAAAAGAGACAAAAGACACTTACGCTTTCCCATGCCACACCCACATCACAAGTGAGATACCTCTATTTACCTGGCAGGCCAGGCTACCAACCATCCTCCCAGGTTCCTAGCACCTGGAGAATTTAGCTGGCACACAGGACCACCAGCCCCTCCCCTCTTGGACAATACCACTGAGAAGGCCCCTTTCCTGCACAAGCCCCTTCACTCATCCCCAGAGTCTGTGGCAGCAGAGAGTGAGGAAAGGAGGGAGGGTGACAAACTCACATACCTCATTCCACACGGGGTTCACACTGTTCTTGATGACTTTGGTTCTTTTCTTCACCCCTATGGGAGACACAAAGAGAAAGTGAGAGACTATCCCACCCCCTGCACCTCCCACCCAGGTAGGGTCAGCTTCTCAGCTCCACACTGTAGCTTACCTGCCAAAGGACACCCCAAGACAAAACCAGTGGATCCCCTGAGAACCCCGCCAATCTGCATGAATGCCCAACACCAACCACACAATTTCTCTCTCTCAGCTCTGGGATGAAGAAACAGTAGCCCCAACAGAAAGGTTTTTTGGAGTTAAATACCCAGGCCAACTCTTTGTAATAAGTTTGTTATTCATGACTTTCTGAATAAAGTTTTTTAATTATAAATTTTGATTCTAAGAATAAATGATCTTCAAGAAAACATTCCATTTTTCTTTTTAAAGACATCTACCTCCACATCTTATATGATTCCATTTATATGAAATCATATAAATCATATAATTGTATACTTTTAAATAATTCCTAAACGGACTGTGAGCTTCAGAGGGCAGACACCATGCCTTACCATGTTAGTAACCTTAGTATATAATGAGGTACCTAGTAATTGGGTGCTAAATGAAAGGGACCTTGTTTTTCCCCCAAGTTATCTGTAAGTTCACTTCCTTACCAGAGGACAGACTCACTGTTCTCAGAGAACACCATAAACCTGCATTGACAGTATGGCTGTGTGTCAATGGACAACGGGAATGAAAGGAGGCACAGTAGGGGTGGGGTGTCCTGGGAAGGGCCCCAGTTAAACCCTCAAAGTTGGTCCAGGTCTGCCTTGGCCGACCCACTCTGAATCTCCCTGTGGGCTCTGTTGGTGTGACTCCAGCAGGCGGGAGACATGTGGCTTTGGAGTCATTCAAATAACAGCCACTACTGTGTAACCTTGGGTAGGGCTTATAACCTCTCTAGGCCTTAGCTCCCTCAGCAGTAAATTGATAACAGTAAGAGTGTCTATTTTATGAGGATTTAAAGGGACATGAGATACTATCTAAGTATCTACTTCCTCGCCCCTATCAACTTCCTATGATCTACGGGAGTAACGGAAAATTCCATCTGCAGCCTCTCTTAGTCGTCTACTTGGGGGCATTCCCTGGTGCTCCTGGTTAGTATTTATTGAGTTGTGTCTGTGTGCCAAGCCCTATGTAAAGTGTCTGAAACATTTTTCACTTCCTGCTTTCCCTGAAGGTGAGGAGAACAAAGGCCCTCAACGAGATTTCACTAAGTCCTGATTAGAAGAGCCAACTCTGGGACCCTCTGAATGACATTAAGGGAGAAGTCACTAATGGGCACTACAGCCCCAAAGAGGAACAAGAAGAAATAAAATATTAACCCAGCACAATCATACGACTTACAGACACCAAGGAAAGGGAAGGCATGCTGCTAACTAGGAAACAGTTAAGAGAATAGTTCCTCATCATGGATTTAGGCCTATCCTGTCCTTAGCAATTAATTTTGGCCTTGAGAGATGTTGCTTTATGTGTGTAATTTAACAGACTCAATAGTTAAAGACACAGGAATGCTCCCAGTTCATGCTGGGGTTGGGGGGAGGGGAGTGCACCCTCTCCCTAAATTGCTCTGCAGAATTGGGGCCCAGCAGACACCTGTGACATAGTGCCAAAGCCATGGGGTGTTCCTCCAGACTGAAAGACACAGTGGGAAGGAATGGACTTACCATGGAGGGCTGTTCTGCCCCTCATGGAAATTCTTCACTTGCTTCCCCAGGCCTACCCACCCAGCTCTACCCCACACTCCTAGACCAGACGGGGTCTAGGGTGGTGTTTTTCGAACTACTCATTGAGACCCATTAAAGGGCCATGACATCAACTGAGTGAGTTGACCAATACGTCTTTTTAATGACAGAACAGACTAGTGAAAAAAATATCAAAGTACACCTTTCATCAGAAAAGTACTATTACTTGAAATTTTTTATATTTTCACATGTATATTTATGTGTGTACTATGCCTTGATGTAAACTGTAAGTCTATTGTTTATAACAGTCCAAAAAGTTTGAAAATATTGCCTTAAAGGAGGATTGTCAGAGAACTGGAAAACAAAAAAATCACCGTCTTGGCCCTTGAGGGCAGAGAGCCAA